ATCCGCTTACTCCAAGAGTAATTATTGCCTTCCCAAGGCTAATTGACTCTTCGGTTTAGATTCAAAACTGATTTTTATTTATTTTTTTAATCCTAATTTTAGAAGTAAGATTTTACTTAATATACTTAAATTATATAATAAAATCTTAAACACATGCATAAGTACTGGCTCCCTAGCCCCGTACCGTACTCTTGTTTGGGTGTGTCACACGATGCACATCTCGTATGACACACACCCGTTATCAGGGTTCGTGTAACCCCGTTACAAAAACCCTGTATGTCCAGTAGTTCTTCTTCTAGATACTAACTTTGATGGACACTTCAACATGCTATTTTAATGTAACGCACACTACAACAAACTTGAATGGACGCTTAAATAAACTATGACAAGCATTGTCAATGGTGTGGATAGTGATCGCAACACCCATGCGTATCTTGGCGATCTGGAAGCTGTAGACCACCGTAATCTAGCGTTGTATCCTGACGGAAAGGTGCTTACACTACCACTGATTTATCTGCCCGACATTGTATGGAGACCTGCTTCCAATTCTCTTTAAATTTAAAAGATACTAATTACAAATAGGTTTTGTTCCCAGGCGATGACTTGCCTCTTCGGATGCTCTCGGATTCGACACTTGGAGGCTTGCGTGAACTGTTATCAAATGAGAGTATTTTGTTGGCTGTACTACCTCCACACCAAGCTGGTAAGCATTTCGGTGCTACTGTTCGAGTCGAAAGGTTTAGTATGGAAAACCACAGTGCACGGATGACAGGAGCTGCGAGGCAGCGTTTTTGTCTGCTTCAGCGATTGCCAGCCGTCCCAAACGCTCAAATTTTATGGGGAAAAGTGCAGATTCTACCCTTAGACAGAGCTCAGTCAATCCCGTTCGATCAATTATGGTCGCATCCGGAAAAGAATTCAAAGAGTAAAAAAAATCTTCGGCAACTCCGTAGTCGGCAGTATCCGGCGTACTGGGGGTATAACACGTATACGTTATATGATGCACGTTTACTTGTGCAAAAGATTCAAAATATGCTGCTGTCCAATGTTCACGGTGAGTGGTATCGCAAACCTCGAACGGAGTGGTCAAGAAGACACAGTGACAATGCCGATCAATATGAAAAGTCGAATCTAGTGCACTACTTGGCGCTTTCTTGCGATCAACAGGATCCAAACCTTTTCGCGCAGTGGGTAGCTGGTAATCTACCATTAGATACGACTCAACGACTGGAGCTGCTCAGTATAAATTCAACCGTGCGATTGCTTCGTCGAGAGATTGAACTTCTTGAACAGGTGGAAGAAGATATCTTTTGTGCCATGTGCGGCTTTTTGATTGCAAATACTCGGGAGATTTTCAGTATGACGGCATGTGGGGCAGCAGGTGGCACATTTGTTAATCCTGGTGGCCACGTTTTTCAAGTGTTAACCTTGCGCGATGTTCACCGCGCACACATTTTTGCGGGTATGACGCGCAGCACGGAGGATTCGTGGTTTGCCGGTTACGCATGGAGTATCACGCATTGCAATTCGTGCTACCAACATCTCGGCTGGCGTTTTGATCGAGTAGACTCAGATCATTTGCCTGCTACGTTCTTCGGCTTTCGGCGAGCCGCGTTAACTCGATCTCGCAATTCGCAATTAAATATTAGTGGAACACTAGGCCTGAGTCCGCACGATTGAAGAAGTTATAAAGATGGCTCATCGATAAAAAGCGAAGGGAGGCCGCTGCCTAATTGATATGAACTCACACTTAAAGTGTATGATCATTCTCTTATCAGAATGTTGCAATTTTCGGGTGTCCTTATCTTGATGCAACCTCTACAACACTTTCATGCTAAAGTCTCAAAATCGTCATAGTTAAAAATTGAAAATTCATGAGAGTGACAAAAATATACTTTTTGAGGTGACCGCTTAAAAAACGCTAAGTTTTCATTGTCTCATCAAATAATAATTCAGGACATGAATCTTGTAGGTCTACTAATCATATTCTGACACTTTTCGCTCGACGGAAAGCGTTTGTAAGAGTTGTTACCAACAGTAATATCTTCTTGAGCGAAAACTCAGAGAAAAAGTATCTTTTTACTTTGTCATGATTATTTTTAAAATAGCTTTGTTGTTAGATAGCCAAAAAACTCTCATAGATAAAAGACGGACGTTTATGGTGTGAAAAGTACTTGATTGACAATAAGAACAGCTATTTCTGCAGTAGTTTCTACCACGTATAGATATTGTAATTATTGCTGTTAATGAATTAAAGACATCATGAACTCGTTGAATGCCAGCATTCTTATTGCCTCCAACTCTTTCCAAGCGATTGTCGCCAACCTTGCGTGGATAACTGAATGTGAAGAAACTCTCTCGTTAAGCAAATTAGATACGGCATTTTCGCTTAATGTTCCTGATATGAATCGGATCTTCTGGAACATATATGGCAACTTTTCATAGATACCAGATATGAATTTCCACTCTCACTACGATGTGCTGAGAAATTTACAGTACGACATTTTTGAGCAGTGTTTGCATGAGGGACCATCTTCTCGCAGGAACGCGACCAGAGATTGAACCCCTTTGTACCATCCTCGTCTTGATTTTACTTCATATTCTTATACAGCTGGTGGATGAAATATTAGATGTCTCTCTGACTCGTCTTTTACAGGAAGCACCACAATTAAATGTTCATCGTTATTAGAGTTCAACTCAACCAACTTTCTTTAATAAAGTTACGTTCACATAGCAATGTTTTGCTCCAAATATTTTCCGAGACAATTGATGTAAATCTAACTTTCAGCCGCTACTAATGATATGGCGAATGAAAGCCTTGTAGCACACAATTTTGAAATGTATACTGAAAATTATTGCGAGTTTTCGAAGCTATTACGAAATATAGCAGGTCTGGACGGCACCGGTAAAGTAAAGGAACTACCGGTATATGAATCTATTTAACCTGGCAACACGACCACCATGGGTCGTAAGCTGAGCAATGTCTACGATCACTTCTTTCGGCTTGAACCTAATCCCGGCCAAAAGGGACTTGTTCGCTATCAGTGCAAAAAGTGCGACAAGCAGTACGCAAGCAATGCGACTAGGTTGGCCGACCATCTTAAGATGTCGTGCGTCCCAGGGTTTCAAACCAACCAGCGCGCTCGGATAAAATCGAGTACTCTTGATGACGACAACATTAAGGGGAAAGATATTGCGAGCGAAGATACATCCGATGGTGTAGTGACTACAGTAGCGTCGATCAATGCACAGACATCCTGTCCCAATGTCTACGCCACCACAAGCGTGGAGACGGCGCAATCATTGGCTTTAAAGCGGGTCGACCAGCAACTTCTTTCAAATATTTTAGAATCGGAAGACAGAGATCCACCGGATATCACGGAAGTTCTTCTTCGATTAGCTAAACTTTCTACGTGTGTTATTGGTGACGCGATGGCTCAAATGAAAATTCAAGGTCATTTAGTAGGTGTGGATTTGATCCGGGGCTACGATACTCCATTGGCGATAAATATCTGTGGACCAGCGTTGACAGTTCAAATGATGCCAATCGCTGGTGCACAAATAAGCAGCAGATCTTATGACTACATAGACACAGTGGAGATGGGACAAGTGATAGTAATTAGTGCTCCAACAGGTATAACGTCGGCAGTGTTTGGTGGGTTATTAGCGACCGCTTCAAAAGCACGAAATGTAGCAGGGATTGTGACAGACGGCCGGGTACAAGATGTGCAGGATTTGTGTACAATGAATTTCCCAGCATTTGCCACGGGCACATCGGTCCATGGCGAAACGGGATCGACAACGATAGGTGAAGTGAATTGTCCTATTGTTGTATCAGGTTGCGTGGTGCGTCACAATGACATTATCCGAGGTGACATAAATGGCGTAATCGTCATTCCTGCTGAATGTGCACAGGACATTGCGACTCGAGGTGAAATCATTGAGGACCAAGACAGAAAGATTGTTGAAGCTTTAAATGAAGGTGAGCCACTGAAGCGCTCCTTTCACCAGTTTCGCTCTCGTGATATTTGATTATGATCCAACTACTCCACACACTTCTGCTGTTCGTTTGGTATGTAAGAGATCACTACTCTTACCTGCTCGCGTGCTAATTCGGAGGTATTTAACTAGCTTTTATCACCAATAGGACCAGGTCTTTTAATAAAGCTACTAAATAATTATTGGCCTTCGCACTTTGTAAGAAAGGATATTGTAACAATGGCGGACGAAGTAGATTATGAGAGCGATACGGCCATGGCCGCAGAAGAAGAAGAAGACAAGCCACGAAAGACTAAACGTACAATTAAAGGACGTGGAACGGGAACTGCAGCAATGGATGCTGCACGATATCCAGCTGAAACCGGTGTCTTCGACAAGCTCAAGCCCAGCGCGTCAACTAGAGATCATTCGACGGCCCTACGTTCTGTTGAGGGATGGCTCTTATTTGTCACAGGTGTGCATGAGGAGGCACAGGAAGAGGATGTTATGGATGTCTTTGGAGAAGATGCACAGGTGAAGGACTTACATCTGAATCTTGATCGACGTTCCGGCTTTGTCAAGGGCTATGCACTAGTAGAGTTTGAACATTTTAAAGATGCGAAGGCAGCCATGGAGCGCATGGATGGTGCTAAAATTCTGGGTAGCACAATTCATGTCGATTGGGCCTTTCGAACAGAGACCGAGAAGCGTGGAGGACGTCGATCTAATCGACGATAGATAGCTACACTAGTGAGAAATGATGTGCAAACAATACAAAAAAGGTCTTTGGATTCCTGTAACTATTAATGACTATCCGACAGTAAATACACGCGCATCACGCTGCCGTTTGGGCCGTCCGCTAGGCTTTTTGATCTTGGTTTTGTATTCTTCCATATACCTCCTCTCAAGCTGGCGCTTGGTGTAAAGCCATTCTGCAACTCGTCGTTGAATGCGTCGGGCACCAAAGTATTGATGGGCAAAAAATTCGATACGCCGTTTAGCTCCAACAACCCCAATAATACTTGAATCTTGGTCAGGCATATCAGAGTCGGAGTTAACCTTCACCCATAACAAGACTTTTTAGTGTCATGTTGGTGATATATTCACAAAAATTCAAGGCATAGAGACATACCTTGACCATCTCCCGCGTCATTGCTAGTAATACGTCTCGAAAGTAAACAAACTCGCCATCATATAAAGGCACCTCCAAAAGGCCTGCGAAATTTATAAAGCGGTAAAGTTTAAGCAAGAGACTACAATAGCTGTTTGACGAACGTACACATGTATTTGAAGAAATGAGCCATATCGAAAGGCATGCCGAACTTTCCAAGTGGAGGCTTAAGCAGATTGATCAGTAGCAAAAGCTTGTCAACTTTGACAAATCCAGTCGCTTTGGGATCAATGTCTGCCCATTTCGTCTGAAACTCGTCAAGAAGTTCGGGTTCAAATAAAGGTTCTTCATCTTCGTGAGAAAGCGAGAAACCCTCAAGAATCACAGCGATCGTGAGATTGAGCATAACGTAGGTCACCAGTAAGGTAAACGTACAGAAAAAACCATACGCAATCGGATTGCCGCATCCATTCAGCGGTATACAGCCTTCAAAATCATGAAATCCGCACATATTTGGGTCATAGGGAGGATCATCTACACATCCTGGAGAGTAAGACGCCAAGTCATGCATACAACTGTTCCATGCTTCGCCAGTTGCTGCACGCAATAAAAAGAGAAATCCTCTACCAAAGTCTTGGAAATTAGCGTGTTCATCAATATTGTCGGTCAAAGCAACTTTGGCGAATATTTGAACTCCCATTGTCGCGTAGATAAACAACATAAGAAACAAGATCGACGTAATATTACTGAGTCCAGGAAGTGCGATATACAATGTTAATAAAATTTGTCGAATACTTTTAGATGCTTTGACAAGACGAAGAATTCTGGTCACTCGAAAGACGCGGACGAGCATTGCAAGGGATCGAACCGAGGCTCCAGTAAGCGATTCCACAACGACACTCAAAAGTGTTCCAAGCACGACAAAAAAGTCAAATTGATTCCACCGGTCTTCGAAATATTCCCAACCAAAAGCGGTAAGCTTCATCACGGCCTCTAATGTGAATACTACTGCAAAGATTTCATTAAGAATATTAATGACGTAACCTTGTATGGTTGATTCGCCAAAGTATTGTGCCGCCATTAAAACAGTGTTGACAATGATACAGATCATAATGAACCATTCAAAGCGCTGCATTGTAACTAAATTGAATAAGTGCCGTCGAAAATATTCTTTCGGGGGCTTTAATATACGCACGGGACCGACGCGAGACGCAGCTTTTTGGGCCTCAATCCACTTTTTCTGTTCCGGTGTGAGCATAAAATCCCCACCTAATGCAGCTTTCATGCGATTAAAGTTGTCAATGATGACACCTACAAAGAGGTTTACAACGAAGAAGCTGCCGACCATTATGAAAAGCACAAAGAACAATGCCCAGATCATGTTATTGTCCCGTATAGGCTGCATGCCAATGCCGTTAGAATCAATTGCTGCCATCATAACATCTGCCCAGCCTTCCGTTGTCGAAATTTCAAAGAATGTTAGCATTGCGGAGCCAACATTGTCAAAATTTTGAGGCAAGACTTTCTCCCAGTTAGCCCCCCAGCACTTGCAAACATATTCCGATGTCAGATCTGCACCAATGGTGAGCGGGAAAGTTGCTTGACAATCTGTGCCATGGAACCAGCTTCGTTCGAGGTCTGAAGATACTTTCCACGCTTTTGGAGTAACAAGAAAACTCAATTGAGCCTCCGAAAGTGCATCAAAGACGTCTCCACTACAGGCATTAAACGTTCCTTTCAGGTAATTCACGGCCACAATGCTAAATATGAGAAAGAAGAGCATACATACGAACAGGACATTGATCACCTCTGGTATAGCTTCGAACAAAGCGTTCACAACCAACTTTAATCCAGGTCTACGGCTTATCATTCTCAATGGACGAAAAGTTCGTAGTCCACGAAGTGACCGCAAAGACTTGAGATTTGCCCCTTTTCCTGATGACTCTGCGACGAGCATGATGAGAGAGGAGACGACAATAACTCCATCAATAATATTCCACCCATTCCGAAGATAAGCTCCTTTATGCATGACTAGACCCATTGCAACAATTTTTATGACCATTTCAATCGCGAAAATGATGGCTAACGCCTTGTCCAGCCCCTTTAAGAATGTAGCAAGAGCAGACTCTGGATTCGCGAGTGGATTGTCGACCGCTAAAGCAATGGATGAAAGCACAATCAAACCAAATACCGTCGAGTCGAAGTATCGATGGGTCGATAAGTAGCAGGCCACTCGCCGTACTTTTGATGTGTCTGCAAATAAAAATAACGATTTCCCAGAACTAGCTTCTACCGCTTGATTGACTGTCTCGTCTCGGTCTTCTACTTCCCCACTGACTTCTTGATCTCTATCCGGCATTATGTCAGACACAATACTTGTTCGTGAACTGGCAGCTAAACTACTTCGAGTAGTGGTGGTCAACATGTCTCGCAATGAAGCTCTGCGAAAGCTTCCGATCGGTGCAAGGTCCGTTGAGCCACTAAGAGAACTCAAACGACTTGTAGGCTCAATGTATATTGTTTTAGCCAACGGTACACTTGGTGTAATTTCATCGGCAAATTTCTCCAAATTAACAGCGCGAACATCCTCTTCGTCTTCATCTTCATCTACCTCCATAATTGATTGCCGCCGGGCTCCAATCGCATGGGTTGTGGAAAGCATTAAAAAACTTCCTCTACTTGTCAAAATTTGTTCGCTTTCGGACGAAATTGGAGTTACTCTTGAGCTCATGCTCATCACTGACATCTTTTCAGCCAACCTTTTGGTTTCTTCTTGTTTTTGCCTTTCTTGCTCTTCATCGTTATCTCCAAAGTTGTCAAGTAAGAGAGCTAGGAACAGATTCATCAATACAAAGTCACCTAAAATCACCTAGTGTCCAAACATTTTATCACTCTTTGTACAAATATAGGATTGCAGGACAAAATGTTTTCAGTAAACACCTTACCAATGAAATAAAGTAAATGCATGAGAGCATGCCATTGCCCAGAATAGCAAAATACATGATGCCGTTCCAGTTCTCGCCCGTGATTATCTGAAACACTGTGACAGCAGCCCAAAGCAGCGTGTCAAAGTTATTTCGCGGAACCTACGAAAATCGTCAGCCACAACGCGAGAATAATTACACTCAACTACTTACAGTCCCATCCCAGAACTCGTCCAAATTAAAAGGAGTTGAGTAACCCTCATTATCAAATCGCATAGTGTTGCCGAAGAACTAAAATATAAACAAACTTCTTTCAAAAACGAGGTGTTGGATAAAAACTCATCAGCTCATTTTTACCTGTACGCCAATTAAAGCATAGATGTAGATAAAAAGAAAAAGAAGGACGCCGAAATTTGTGATACTTGCTACAGCTCGGAATATCATCTCCAAAAGCTCCCGAAGCGATTTCCAGTCTCGAGCAAGTTTAAAAACTCGGAATAACCGAAAGGACCGCAATGCCGACACAGCTCCTTTCTTAGGAGGGTTATTAGACATAAACGAAGGTGGGGAAGCAACAGTCTCAAGAATACCCATCGTCACGATAAATGCGTCGAACAAATTAAAACGATCGCGGGAATATTGACGTAGTCCAAGTCCAAAGAGTTTCATGACCATTTCCAAAACAAAGACACATGAAAGCGCAAAGTTAACAATCTCGAGATCTTCATCCATTTCGGTTGGCATCGGATAATGATCTAATGCTAATACGGCAGTATTGGCAAGAATAACGGCCATAATAAATCCAGCAAAGAGCTTGTGCGATACAACTGCATTCAGCCAGTGCTCCTTTGCAAGTCTCTCGGCATTGTCTCTATCAAGCTTTGCCCTTCGCTCTTCTTCCCGCTTCTGAGTAGAAGTTTTCCCAGGTTTCTGATCGAGATTAAACTCTTCGGAAATGACAGCAAGCGTCAAATTCATTACGAAAAAAGAAGCAAATATAATGAGCCCCACGAAAAATATCGCTCCAATAGTCGGTTGTGATGAATCCATTACCATGTACATAATGGCTGTCCAGCCTTCTTGTGTGATAGACTGAAAAATAGTGAAGAAAGCTCGTCCAATATTATCAAAAGTCGTAAGACCCCAATCAAGACTTGGACGGTAAAGTGCATAATCCATCGCCTTACGGTTGCTAAATCGAGGATTCCCAAATGCATCCCAGTCCGAGCCACAAAATTTTCCAATTTTGCACGCATGATTACCGGCTTGGCCTGTTGCTGCGCAAAGAAATTCGTCTTGCTCATCTACAGGCCAAAAGCACGGTTGTGCAGTACTCCAAGGTGAAGTTTCCTTTGTATAATGTCCCACACTATCTTCGTAGTCAAGAAGGGGAGCATCTATGCATAAATAATTTTCTTCGTTCGCCGTCACTTGGTCGAGGTATCCCTGAGGAATCGGCCAAATCGTTTCGTTCATTTCGTTAAGAGGTAGCTTTACGGGAAACGTGGTTAAGCGACATCGACGGTTCATACTGCCACCAAAAAGTTGAATTCCGAGAATACCAAAGATGAAAAAGACGAAAATCTGTAGAATGACAACATTACCAAGTGCAGGCAATGCTTTCAGCAATGCAGCAATAAGTCGTCTCATTCCAGGAATAACCGATAGGGATCGTAGTGGACGAAGTACTCGGATAGTTCGAATGGCTGAAACATTCGGCATTCCTGGCAGCGAAGCTACAAGGCTAAGATATACAAAAATACCTGTCAAAACCAGTGCTGAATACGTCACTTTAGTAAACAGCGCATCAGTACCTAGAAACAACGACGAAAAAGTCGAGGACGTTCCACATATCCTGCCCGTATGAACCCTTGCCATATATTCCCATGGCAATAATTTTAAGTACGCACTCTCCTGTAAATATGATGGTAAACGGAAGTTCGGAAAATTCGACAATATGATTCTGTAGCGAGTAAGCGTCGATAAGTTTTCCATTAATGTACGTTTTCCCCGAACTTGCTGGGTTTAATTCAGTGTCGACGACAGAAAAGTCGGATAGTCCGAGTATGATCGAATTTGCCACAATAGCAGCAATGATAAATCGATCAAAGTACTTGTGGGCAATTAACTCAACGCACCATTCGCGTAGTTTGTGCTCTCTTGGCAAGAAGCGAAATATTAAATAGTCTGCACCGAATCCCTATCGAATCAGTACATATCTTGTGAGTGAAGTCACAAATATCATCATCCACGTTTGTTTAATGTAAATGCGGTACCTTTGGCGGCTGGGCGACCGCAAGCCGTCTTTTCAGGTCTATCGATCGCTCAAAATGATCAACTGGATTTATGACTGGGGACTTGACTGTGTGTAAAACTTCTACTCCTGGTGAAAGAATCATTTTCGTGCGGGAGATGTCGGGAAATAACACTAACGCATCCTTTTCTAACGAGTCACTAAAGGTTGTCGGCGCGACTGCAACGCCACGCTTTATCCTGCTAACTAGATGTCTAAGCCCCTTTACAACGGACAACGATCCGTACGTTGAGTAGAAGCACGAAATCTTGTCACGCGTACCGTGATCCCTGATTCCGTTCAAAGAAGCCAAGCAACAAGAAGTTACGGCCGCTCAGTTAGAAAAGTATTTCCGGAGTAGTGAAACAGCGCTTAGACAGGAATACGTTGTTCATTCAGACTTGGATATAAATAAGAAAGTCTCGACTTTGATGGGCACGTAATTTGATGACATGGGGTGTGTTTGCGGTACTCAAAACACTCGCTTCCTGGAGATTACGCGAATTTGTGATGTGAGCTTGTTTCTTAAGCTTATGGGGGTAGACACTTTCGCGCAATCGATGACAATGCACAAAGCCGCTGAAGCTCCAAATCATCGTGCTACTATTCCAGCGCAAGCGGGTCAAATTGCGATTATTTATAATGGATTATCGAGTCTCTTTGACGTTAATGAGAAAAACATTCTAAACATACGTGCATACATGCCTCTTGGACACACCCAAGCAGTGGTTCCCCTTTCGCCTAGTCACGCTTACACCCATGATCCTCACATTTCAAAAGGTGGCACGTTGTTAACTCCAGAAATCTTTCTTTTTTGGAAATCGGATAAAGAGATTATTTGTCGATACGTGACGGAAGGTGCGGGTGACGAAGTTGTTTTGGAATCAACTCTATGTGCTCGAGTTGAATTGCAGAGCCAGTCACGATATCTGTTATTGCCCTCGAACGGGACGGATAGCGGAAAACCTTCGTCACTAAGCGCACTTACAAATGGTGATTTAGTCGGTTTGCTTACCACTATTCCATTCTTCGCCGACTTACCTACCGATAAACTTGCCATACTTACTGAAGTTTCAACAATACGCATCTATCCTAGTGGTTGTATTATATTTCGTGAAGACGAAGGAATTAGTACACAAATGTTCGTCACACTTGCTGGTTCTGTTGAAGTGACAAGTTCACGGGCTACTGGGCCATTAGCGACACTTGTGGCAGGATCTTTTTTTGGTGAAATGTCGTTGCTGATCAATATCCCACGTGCAGCGACTGTGAAGGCACTAGAGAGTTGTATGCTCATGAGCATTGAGAAGAAAGCCTTTCATAGTGTATTGGACCAGTGCCCTGATGCACGACTGAGCATCAACAAACTTTTAAAGGAAAGGTTACTGTTAAAAGCGATTTTAAGTGGTGTCTTACCGTTCTTCAGTGCGATACCCAATGAAAGGATGATTCGCTTTAGTCAAGAATTTGAAATTGAAGATCATGTGCGCAAAAATGATATTGTGCTGAGTCAACAAGGTGAGAATGGCTCTCAGGATTCGAAATTTGTCTTTGTAGTTTATGGTGCGGTCGAAATATCATCTAAAGATCGAAAACCAGGCATGTTTGGACACGATCGCTCAATTTTTCTCACACCAGGGTGCTACTTAGGACCTTTTACGTTTGAGCGGATGAATTTGCGCAACGGAAAAGCTTATGCACGCTCAGCGTCTGTGCTATTAACTTGCTCCTTTCCCACGATCGTAAAGCTACTTGAAGAGTACCCATCCGCACGTGCCGCGGCAAATATTGCTTGGTTTGGCGAGCGGTGTGATGTTGCGAGCGTATTACGTCATGGCGCCTTAGCGCTTCGATTTCGAACATTTCTTGAATCCGAACACAGTGAAGAAAATTACCTCTTTTTTTTGGATATTGAAAAGTTTCGTCAGATCGAAGACAAGAGCGAGCGACGTGAGGTGTCCATTTACATTTTCGAGCGGTATATTCAGCCCGGTGCACCAAAAGAAGTGAATTTACCCGCAGTTATTCGCGACGACATCATGGATCAAATGGGCAAGTTAAGTGCACTCGACACAGTGGAACCTACTTTTTATAACGAAGCTTGCGATGAAATTATGCGACTTATGGGCAAGGACAGCTTTCTGCGTTTTAAAAAGAGTTTTCATTTTCAAAATATCGTTGAGGCGCTGGACCCTCATACGAATCGTCAAGGGTCTCGATTGGTAGCTGCTTGTCACCAATTTCGAGACTCTTTGCAAGTTCTGCGGCCTGGTCACGTTGACATGAAGAACACGCAGCTAGAGCGCATGTTGAGCACGATTCAAAAGTCTCAAGCTCTTAAAAACAATGTTTCGGATTCAGCAAGTCCTTAAGGGCTATCTTGAAGGTAGGGCGATAAACATCAGAGTAAAGAATCAATGATTAACAAGATATACTGCAATTTTTTACCACTTTGTGTCATACTTCCAAGTACTAGCAAGCGAGGTACCAATCAAGCAGAGACCAGTGTGCAGAGACATTTAACAATATCCCCATCGGCCTCGCGTAGCTTCCGATCTGCTTGTTGCGTGGAGATCTCCATCTCCTGTGCCACGAGTTCTACTTCATCTTTGCTGATTTTAATGGCCGCTAGTTTCTTCTCCAACAGGCGTTCAGCTTCTTTGTCTGCCTCCTCTTGCTTGTGCAAAGCCCGAAACGCTGCCTTCATCTTGTTCTCATCCATTTGTTTTTCCTCGACGAGATCTGTAAGCTTTTCCATAGCATTGCTCTCGTCCTTTTTGCTCTTCACCTGTTCCTGCGGAGTCTCCTCCTCTCCATCCGAGCCAGCATCCACTTGATCCGTCTTCTCCTCTGTTTGACTCATGTTTATGACTTGCTATTGCCACATAAATCGCTTTCGATTTCAAACAGTTCAACCAGTCGATTTCTTGATTTTTTATGCCACAGACCAAAATCCAGATGACGTGCGGTTGTACATTTGTCACCATACAATCTACATGACCAACTCATTTGCAGTCCATCCGCATCCTAATCAAGTTGAACATGTTCGCTCGTGTGTCCCGCCGTGTCGCCTACGCCGCAAAACAAACCTCTTTTCGCACTTTCGCCTCGCAGGTCCGTGCATTTTCGACTGTTCCGGCCCCTGTCACGCTTGCTGTCGCCGCTACTGTTGGCGTCTCGGCTTTTGCTCTTACCGCTGCCCCTATTGCTGAGAACAAGGCTAAGCCTACAACACCCCTTGCTGGCGTTCCTGGCACCTCTACGGAGCGCACGTTCATCGCGATCAAACCCGACGGCGTACAGCGTGGCCTTATCAGTGAAGTAATTGGCCGATTTGAGAAAAAGGGCTATAAGCTTGTAGCTCTTAAACAAATGACGGCTACAGAAGAGCGTGCCAAGGCCCATTACGCTGACCTGTCCGCGCGTCCCTTTTTCCCGGGCCTTGTTAAGTACTTCACCTCGGGCCCAATCGTCTGCATGGTCTGGGAAGGCACGGACGTAATTCTTACTGGCCGCAAGATTTTGGGTGCTACTAACCCCAACCAAGCCGCCCCAGGCACCTTGCGCGGTGACAACTGCATTTCCACCGGTCGCAACCTCGTACACGGTTCGGATGGCCCGGAGTCTGCCAAACATGAGATTACAATGTGGTTCACCCCCGAAGAGATTAGCAACTACGAGCGTGCTCTCGACACGTGGATTGTTTCAGATAACTAGATCAAATGGAGGCAAGCTGACAAGGCTTGAGACCAGCTGCTGACATCAAAGTAATGTTGCTGTGCAATACATAGCCTTAGATGTGGTTAACGTGTCAATTATTTTTCTAAGTGTAGATATCGCACATCAGCGCAAACATCACACAATTTGATTTCTGGTGCAGCTTTCAAGCATACTTATCGGACCTTGAGATAGAATGAACCGAGTAACTTTTGTAATATCGATCTTCCCATGGATGGAAAGGTGACAATAAATGGTGAGAAGCGTGAAATTGAAGGAGTTTACTGTAAACAAATTCAAGCATGGACTACGTCAGTTCCATCGACTCTTTTATGTTGTCGCATCGAGCCTTTCCTTTACCAGCTGAGTTGGCTGCTTTTTGTTATAGTGGCGGAAATTAGAAGTTCATTAATTAACTGTTGTGGCGTAGGATTGTACGTGTACCCAGCTCGGCTAAAGGTCACTGAGCGCGACGTACTTAGTCTCGTCTTTAGAATGGCTGAATTCTTGGTCGTCATGCGCAAATAAAAAAATTCTCTTAGTCTCTGCTATCGAGGAGCTTAACGCTTACTTAAAGCTGTAATTCTATGCGAGTTGGTAGACACATGGTTAGGGTGTTTCACTTGAACCTTACGGCTTGTTAACGCCTCCAACCGCTTTCTGTCTTCTGGCATTCAAATCTGTCTTCTTAATGGTACTAACAGCAGCCAAAATCTTTCTCATGTATCGTGTTGCCCTGAGAACAAAGAGGGAAATATAACTTCGTATCATGCTACGAATGAACTAGTCTTAATTAATTAGTCCCGGGTGTCAACTTGAAGAATGCTACCAGATGTAACTGGGTTCGCCAAGCCCCTCGCAAGGAGAAACATTTAATTATGTGACACTTCGATAGCTCACACGAAGAAGATGGGTTTGCATGCAAATTCAGGATGTAAATAAAACCAGGAAAAACTTATAACAATCACCTAATTTCTCTGATTTCAAGGGTAGTTCAGGAAGGGCGACGAGTAGAGGCTCACACAAAACGTGGGTGTCGAATGGGGAGATTTGCTCTCACGTACCAATCCTGCGTCGTGCTTCGCACGAAAAAAGGCGTCAATGACGTCGTACTGCTCCTTGGGCAGGGGACATTGGCGTGTTACGCAGTATTTGGTTCCCGGAACGAGGTCGATCTCATGACGCACACCTC